TCCGTACCTACTAGGTACACAAAAATTACTAGGTACATATAGGTACGCTAGAAATATACTGTACCTTACCCAAGACCTAAAACTGTACCGTACCAAAAAGGATACTACCTCTTTTTTCAGAACACAGCCCATATTATTTTATGATGAAATTAAGAATATATAAAAAATAAGTGTGAATATGTATGAGTATGAGTAAAGGTATGTAAAAACTTTGCCCATCCCTACTTCACACCCAGCGAACAACTTAGTGATATTGAAACCTTTTTGATAGTTGTTTTATAATAAAATCTTGCAATAACCAATAAAGTAACAAAATAGCTTTTCAAAAAGATGTGGCCTCGGCAGATCGCAATGTCGTATGGGAATTGGAAATTCTTTAGATTTTAACGTTAAGAAATTTACCAATTTTGAATAAATATAAATACAACCGATCGAAAATATAGATTAATAGACAATTTAGTTCTCTGAAATTTTCCTCGATTATCACAAAAATCATGGGACCGCGTCTTTTTTGAAAAGCGCTACGTATAAAAATTCTAAACTATCAAGTAATTTCATCCATTATATACATATAAGCAAATTATAAATTTTAATAAAGCAAAATCACTATTTTCAAGTATTTCTTAAGTTATTTCTACTCGGATTGCGTAATTTTTACTTTCTAAAAAAGTACAATACATGTCTAAGTTCAGAATAATGGTAACACATCAAAGTTCTTAATTAAATATGTGCCAATAAAATAAGTATATATTGCGCTAATAACTTGGAACACATTAAATTGAAATGTCTAACAATTTGTTAATACACATAAACCATAGTCTATCATTCAAGAGAAATGGCTAGCTGGTAATTAGATGCCATGTATTAATTTTGCCATATGTAATAATGTCATTATTTACTAATTTGCCATAAACTATATTTCTACCATTCGTATTTTCGTTAAGCCGAAGCTTTATCTAATGTCAGTAAAAAGAATCTGATTATTTTCAAGGTCAAATTTCTTTCCCACTAATGCTATAAAATATTCATATTAATTTATTTAAGTCAATATGTCAATATTAGTCAAATGCTTGCCAATTAACAATGCAATCTAAATTCTCAGATTCCAATAAATCTAAATTGGTTATTAAAATTAGTACTATAATAATGATACGTATAGAAATCGATTACCATAATGATACCATTTTACCTTGATCTAAAACAGGCTGCGTATACAAATTACTTAAATCATCAAGTTTTGGCAAATTTGAAATGTTGAATAATCTATTTGCATAACATGCTTCTGAATGTATTTCAAATGTAGATTGTGAAAGAAGTAATATCGCGAGCTTTAGGCTTTTCAGCATTTTTAATTTGTTCATATAATTCTGAACCTGGATCATTCACATTCACTGCCCAGTTATTAAATATTTCCATCAATGCATTCGCAGTTGGTCGTTTTGTCAGTACAGTTTCCCAACATTCATTAATAAGCCGCTTAAATAAGTCTGCTATTTCATTTATAATTGTTGGGCGTGAACCTTTACAAATATCAGATGCCAAATGTATGTCATGTGAAATTTCATAAAGGGTGATTTTTCAAAAATTATCTCATACCGAAATTGTATATGTCTGAAGATTGTGTATATTTCCTTGATCGTAAAATAATATAAGATAAAACTCCATATATTGCTTGTCTTTCATATTTTTTTTTTGTTTATGAAAAATTCTTCCCCTAAATCTGTAATGTTGTTCAATAATAGTCATCAATGCAAAATGTTTCCCATATGAAGGTTTCCATGAATTAATCCAGCCTTATGAATAGCATTAAACCCTATTGTAATACTTTCTAACATTCTTATTTTGTTGTTCCACAACGATTAGGGATGGGTTCGGTCGGTTACGATCGGTTACAGTCAGTTATTATCGGTTATATAAGGCTAAATGACAGGTTATAACTGATCAATTATTTGATCAATTATTAGATTTTTGCTAAGCAAACCCTTCTTCTACTTCTAATAAAATTTGTAGAGAAAGAAATTTCGGTTATAATTATGGAATATTGACTCGGCGGTTAACGTTATATGAGAGTTTTAATTCTCACGACTACATATTTCTTTTTGTTTACTTACAATAAATTTGAAAATTAGTGGGACACGTGAAGAATTTTGTGCCGAATTTCAATAATTATACCTATCGAAAGTACAGGTAGTTTTCGGTAATAAGGAATACAGTTTTCGATAATATAAATTTCGGCCAGTACATTGCCTCGGTATAATCTTGTATCGATCGAAAATTATATTATCGAAAACTACACTTTTATTAGGAAAATAACTATCGAAATTTGTATATTCATATCTAATAATATATTGGACTGATTTTAGCGGTTTATCATTATAATTGGAAATTTCTTCCTCTATAACTTTAATTAGAGATACCAGGAACGGAGTGCATGGTTAAGCGGCATATGAAGTGTTTCTGTACAAATCCGTGCTTTTGATTGGATATCTATAAACCTGTTTTATATAAAAGGGGTTTTATATATATATATGAGAGCCGCCAAGATAAACCTGTCATCGGACTTTGTGTTTTGTGTGCAATTAGCCGTCTATGGAAAATCTTAGATTCTTCGTCGTAGACGGTTAACTGTATATAGAATATAATTA